AGTAGTAGTAGTAGTAGTAGTAGTAGTGGTGTAGTAGTAGTAGCAGTAGAAATAGTAGTAGTAGTAGCCGTAGAAGTAGAGTAGTAGTAGTAGTAGTAGTAGTAGTAGTAGTAGTAGTAGTCGTAGCGTGTCGTGGTAGTCGTAGGTAGTAGTAGTAGTAGTAGTAGTAGTAGTTAGTAGTTAGTAGTAGAAGTGTAGTAGTAGTAATAGTCGTAGTCGTAGTCGTAGTCGTAGTAGTAGTTAGTAGTAGTAGTAGTAGTAGTAGTAATAATGAAAATAGTATACAATAGAAGTAGTAGTAGTAGTAGTAGTAGTAGTTAGTAGTAGTAGTAGTAGTAGTAGTAGTTGTAGTAGTAGCAGTAGTAGTAGTAGTAGTAGTAGTAGTAGTAGTAGTAGTAGTAGTAGTAGATGGAAGGCTTCAGAGAAGCCCCAAGAAGGGTTAACAATCAAGATGGCCCATGCTGGCGCCATGACGTCGCAAAAGGCCCCCAAGACGGCTCAGCGAAGCCTCTTCGCGAGAGTTTGGTAGAACCATCGCGCGGGGACAATTAACATGCCACCCCCAAGATGCTCCAAGCAAGCCGCCAAAAGGGCTCCCTGAAGCCTATCATATTGTTCCGAAACGCAGCGCAATAGCCATGCAACGCAATGGCTGAGCTTTGCTACCACATCGCAGAGCTACTTCCCAGGCAAACAAACAGTGCTCTACCGAGACAACTCGGACACATCGATTGAACCATCCTACATGGCAGGTTCCAGAAACCCTGAACCCCAAATGTTGTAACATCTTGGGAGGCGCATCACTTGCTTCCGCCAACTTTCGGCGGCCTTCCACTGCATCTGTAAGCGGAGACACACCCGTTTTGCTTCCGCCGATTTTCCGCCGCCTTCCGAGAAGAGATGACATCTCAATGGGTCCTCGAAGGCGAGGCACTTCCTGGAACGCCTCACATAAACGATAATGTTGCACTGGCGCGTTGGCGGAGATGACCGCAGGAGATGCGATAACGCGCGTACCATGCCACCATGATGTTGATACAGACGTGCGCTGGATGCCCCACGGTAGCGGTGAGGTGAAGCCAGGGAGAGGAGGAGGAGGAGAAGGAGGAGGAGGGGGAGGAAGAGGAAAAGGAGGAGGAGGGGCAAGAGGAGGCATAACAAGAGGAGGGGAAACACTGGGCATGCTGGATTCTAGACAGGCCCATACGCACGATCCGCGCAGCCCAGCTGATATCTGAGGGACAAGAACATGTCACGTGACTGGATGAGCGTGAGTGGATACTGGGACGGATGGGACGGATGGACTGCATGGATGGGAGAAGGACGAGGAGGATGGAAGAAGGAAGGGCAAGGGAGGGGCGGAACAGGAGGAGGCGGAGCATGGAGTTAACACTGATCGAGACAAGCTGACAGGAGATGCAAGGCTATAAGGGCTGAGATCGAGCCTGCCTCATTGAGCACTTCAAGTGCGGCGGCAACTGAATTCTGTGAATTCGGCCCCTGTTGACACTTGTGGACGCATGGCGAGACGTGAGAGCTCGTCTGGCTAGCTCACCGTTCACCCTGGGGTTTACAAAGCTGGGTGGCAATGCTGTGCTGCTTGCAACCGCCTTCTGCTTCGAGGCTGTCGCTGCTGCAAGCGCGTTCGCCGTTGTTACTGCAAGGGCGGAGGGATATTTGAGCAGATGGAAGGCCCCCGGCTCTAGAATAATGGGCAGGGGTGGGCGAGGGAACCCCGAGGAGGCTACGGAGAAGAGGAGACGAACTCGAGAAGATCGAGGAGCAGACGGAGAGGAAGAGAGAACAGGACGAGCATGACTTTCGATACAGGAGGACGATGGATGGGGAGGGAGGACGAGGAGCTGGAGGAGGAGAGGGACAAGGAGGAGGAGAGAGACTGGGAGTGAAGATACGGCACTGATGACGCGCAGCGCGGTGCGCCATGCGCCCAGGCAGGGCATCGGCAACCACTGCGGGCCCGAAAGCAGCATCACCGCGCGCCCTGGCCCACCCGAGGGGCCTGGGCCAGGGCCGCCGACGCCAGAGGCGCAGACCCCTGGGCACCAGGATTCGGAGGGCCGCAGACGGAGAGGTGGCGACGCCCACGAGGGCCAGGTGAGGGCCCGGCACCTCTGCTGCCGAGGTATACGCACATCTGGCGTCGGCGTTGGGGCAGGCCGTCACCCTTCCTGCAGCACGTCGCGGAATGCTCCACGGCCCTGCGAACTGTAGAGCTGCAAGGTTTGACGGGCCCAGGCCACCTGTTTCGCAAGGACTCCCAGAGAGTTTCCGGAACTTCCGGGGATTCCCGGGGATTCCCGGGGGTTCTCGGGGGTTCCCGGGGTGTGTCGCGTGCGTCCCCAAATAGCGCAGCCGGCCCAAGAGGGCCCCAAGACAGCCAGAGGAGCCCCGAATCGCCGCACGATCGGTCCAAGACGCCCAAGATGATTTCCAGTCGGCCGAAAAAACGACCAAGACATCCCAAGAGACCTCCAAGAGC